GCGGTGCTCCAGCCGGTCCCATCGGGAGAGTCTTGGAAGCTGACCTCCGTGCTGGTGACAGAGGCTCGGGAATATGCTACACTTACAGCCGTAGCAAAGGTATTGAGATTTATCAAAACTCGCTTGATATTTTAAAGATTGTTCTAGGACCGTTCTCTCTCTTGTTGCATGGACCAAACCCCGGTAGTCTTTTTACGATTCTTTAGTGAGAAAACTGTGAGACAATGTCACCGTCTCGTCGGGGGACTAGTCTAGAATCTGTAAAATATCCCGCGATTAGAAGTTGGAACGTGATATAGCTCATAGAGACATTGTTTCTGTTGTGTGACCAGGTGCATTTGTGGGAGTATCATTAGAAGGGAACATTGTCGCAACAAGAAGGGACACGAACGTGAAGTTCTATGGCGATCCGTACCTGAAAACAACAGACATTCTACTCGGAATGATGGACCGACCCAGGGCGGCCGAACCATTGTACGCTGCTCTGGATGACCTCTATGCAAGCTTATGCCCTTAGTTTCACCTCCATTGGTTTGTGCAATGTACTTATATTCCTTCCTTTTCCCCCCCTCAAAGTCTCAAATTCATTTGTAAATATCCATTATGGCTACTGCTTCATGGTTTAGTATTTGTGTAGGGACAAAACAATTTCCTTACAAGAATTCCTCCCAAAGGGAAGAAATAAAACAGAGATTTTACATTTAAAATAAACAACTGCTGTACCACAGGAATCATTTTAATGGCTATGCCAAAGCAAAGGAAACAATGAGAAAGCAAAAATAAAAGAGAGAAAGAAAATGGAAACCCTAAAAATCAAGAGAATAAGGTGTTGCTGAAATTATAGTATCAGTAAGAATTTGTTCTCTATGATCTTTTCTCTGAATGCATATTTTTACAAAATCTTGTTCCTTCGCTTACACGGCAAGGCAGTGGCAACTCAAGAATTTGCCTGTCTGCATTTTTGGCTTCAGCGAAAACGAGAAACCGTAAGGTGGAAAAATTCTTGAGATTTCATGCTGAAAAATCAAGATTTTGTTACAACTGAGACAAAAGATTACGGAGAAAACAAGGATACAGAAAGGAAAAGAAGAGGAGAGGCGGTGAAAAGATCAATCCTTGCAATCTGTGACACCTTCCCCGGATATCTGAAACCGTGCTTCAGCTTCAGCCAAGCATGGAGAACTTATCACTTTGCAGATCCTCTCCTCTGCTCTTCCTTTCCTCAAAGCCAGCCTATGCAACAGATAAAACGATTCTTGTCCTTAAGCCCGGAACAGAAAATAGACAAAGCACGAACATTGCATTACACTTGTGACGGTTTCGCACCTTGTTGTAGAGGCATGGGCCATGATATTCCCACCAATCGGCTTAATCTGAGGGCCAGCAAAAAGGGCAGAACCGTCTACTTGTGCTACTACTTGGTTCGTTATTACAACAGCCACACCAAACTAAAAAACCACAGAACATGTGAGGGAAGCTTCGACAAGCATGCCTACTTTTACTAACAAGAGAAACTTTTAACTTGTGACCTCTGAAAGATTCAATAAGGCATTTGATGATGGAAACAACAAGGAAAGTTCACCTCATCTGCTAACTTCTGCAGACTCCTCAAAAACTTTGCGAGGTGCATTTGCCGGGCAGAAAGCTCCCCTCTTCCAGAGAAATCAGTTCTATAGAGCGCAGTAGCACTGTCCACTATCATAAGAGCAAACCTGTACCGACCCACCAATTTATCTTAACTCACGGTTGACATTAAGAGCTGATAACCTGAGATATGGTACTAAACATACCTTGTTTCAACCATCATCGATGCTGCTTCAAGCAAAAGCCTTGACTGGTGATCTGTGTTATAGGCCCTTGCATAGGCAACATTTTCCAACACGTCAGGCCCATTTAGTCCAAACCTGCACCAGTATAACATATATGATACTGTCCCGATAACAACCATGGTATTCAAATTAACACAGATGTAGAAAACCTGTCGGCAATCTGTAAGAGCCTCTGGGGTCTGAACGTTCCCTCTGCGTCGATGTACATCGCCTTTCCCTCCCCACCTCCTTGATCCAGCGGAAGCTGATAACTCAAAAATGAAACCAAACAGTTGATATCTTCCCCAATTGCGTGAACATATCAGGAGAAACATATGGCAGTAATAAGCAACAGTAACATGTCATCACTGATGTTCTTACTTGGCAAGTGACGCATAGTGTATGGCACAACTGAGTCTTCCCACAGCGGAATTCACCATATATCTCAGTAATAGATCCGGTTTCAATTCCTCCTGACAAAAATCATGACAAGCCACAAGGTCATGTCACAAAAAAAAAAAACAGAACTTTTGAACTAAGGTTTAGTTCAGACCCACCTTCCAGAATTTTGTCTAGTTCCCGTGATCCAGTAGAAATCTGAACTATCTCGAGCCGTTGGGCGTGGAGTTGGCTAGCACTGGTGAAACCCACAGGAACCAGTTTGGAAGCTGCCATTCAGCGATTAGGAAAAACATAACTTAATCCCATTCCCATAAATGCATGGTAAACAAACGACAGTATTCTTCATAGTGTAAACTCAGTCACGGCAATGAAATTTCTGAAAATGGCATGCCTGCTTCTATAATCTTGTCAACTTTGGCATCACTAATCCCCTTTATCTGCAACAGATCCTTCCTCGGAGTATAAGCAACAGCTTCAACAGTGCAAAGACCGGCATCCTTAAGCTTCTTTACATCGATGGAAGCTATACCCGATGCCTGAAGTTACATGTTGAAGGTATCAAAACGCTTTACCAATCAACTATCACAAAAAAACCCTAAAATATCCAATCTTGAGGGAACAATAAGCACTGTGTCTTCACCTTTACACAATTCACCAATCTCACAAAAGAGAAAAAGAAAAAGGAAAACCTATGACATACATCGAATCAATTGTGCTTTGGGTTTAAAGAAAATCATCCGACAACCCCCTATCTAGCAAACAGGGAAACACTGTCCGTATCTACAAACCGTGCAAAACCCAATTGGGTTTACAGTGGCGTAGCCGAAAACCAAACCCTATCCAAAATTTGCCTCGATCATATGGCGAAAGAATGGAAGAAACATAGAAAAGCGCAGCGATTTGTGCAATCTAAGCCAAACCCAGCTCGATTTGCGTAACATTTCGTGAATTGATGCATAAAAAAGGCAAATTTTCATAGCAAAAGTAGAATAAAAGAGGAAGAACAGGAAACAAATGTACCTGAAGCTGTTCTACGGGCAAAGGGCCATGATGAATCTCTTCCTCTTCTTGTTGTTGAACAGCCTTTGGGTTCCTCTGCTGCTCCATTGTCGCTAAAGCTATCACTCGGAAGCGATTGGCGACACCTGAGAGAGAGAGAGAGAGAGAGAGAGAGAGAGAGAGAGAGATTTTGTGGGTGGAGGGAAAGTTCCGCGGTACGAAAGAGTTCAAAAGAAGCGCCAGTAATATCAAGACGATGGGCAAAGGCTTATTCGACAAGTCTTAGAAGCTGTTTTGGGCTTTTCTATATGTTTGGGCCTTACACCAAAATAACGGCCCATGGAATCTTCAAAGCCCAAATCCAAAAACAGTTGGAGTGAAACATTTAACATGTAACATATTTTTTGTAACGGGATTCATATAAAAATCGAATGAATATTTTTTTTTTTAAATTGAGAGACTCAAACCAAATCTGAATTGAATGTAAAAAATAATCTGAAAGTTCAACAAAACACATTTGAAAAGTAAATATTTTTATGAAATAAAAAACGAACTCAAACAAAAATCGCATCAAACCGAATTCACCATAAAAAAAAAAACGAATTTCTATATGTTTTTTCTAAAACTTAAATTGAATCCAAAAACAAATTAACCGAAACCCTAACCATGCGTCCCTAAACAATCATACTGATAACTAGGGGTGTCAATCGGGCCGACCCGGTCCGATCCGACCTGAGCCCGCACTCGGCCCGAAGCTTTCGGATTTGGGTTCGGGCCGGTCCGATTTTTTTCGGATCTAAGTAGTTAAGTCCGAAGCCCGACCCTATATATACCGAGCTCGGGTCGGATCGGGTCGGCCCGCATAAATCCTTTGTAAATTTTTTTTTTCTTTTTTTTCTAAAAAAATATCGGGCTTTCAGGCCGGCCCGATTCGAGCCCGAAGCCCGATTCGGGCCCGGCCCGAAAGCCCGATTTTTTTCGGACCGAAATATTTAGACCCGAAACCCGCTAATTTTTGGGCCGGGCTTCGGGCCTCGGGCCCAAATTGACACCCCTACTGATAACCAAAATATTATAATTGCGAATCAAATCGAGAATATGAATTAATGTATAACATTTTCTTTAACCAATATCTAACTAAACTTTTACATATTTTGTTTGCTTTAAATCTACAAAACATGGATGACCAACAAGTTCATCATCCAAGAGGATAAACATATTTTTCACTTTTTTTTTTTTGTAACCGAACGTCCTGAGCCGAAGTCCGGACTAATCCCGAGACCGTGAGTAAGTCATATGATTGAAATTAAATTCTCCTTCCTAATTTGAGGTTTGTGATCAATACGGAGTTATTAACGTATATTTTACGGATTTGTTTCTTTCCTTATTTATAGTAGTATTGTTGATATTTTTCTGTTGTAAGATAAGATTTCATTCTTATCTCTTGCTCTGTATATATATGGAAGCGTACAAAGTGAATAAAGTATCACAAATTTCCCCTTTACTTTTCTAAACGTATTATGGTATCAGAGCATTAAATGCTCCGCTAGCTGCCTTTTTCAGATCTCTATTTTTCTTTAGTTTCTTCTTTAGCGTTCTGCTTTCTGCTTTTTGCTTTTTCAGAATGTCTTCCCATTCTGATAATGAATCACCCACTACTCAACGTGCAGCCTCGCCTGTTCTCTCTAATTCTCTTGATCCATACTCAAATCCTCTTTATCTCCATGCTGCTGATTCTACAAGCCTCAATTTGATTTCGGAGAAGTTGCTGGGCGAAAGCAACTACAACCTATGGTCTCGGTCAATTGTGAAAGCACTTACAGCCAAGAATAAACTCGGGTTTATTCTTGGATCTGTCGTTAAACCGGATGACGATCATCCGGATTTTGGATCTTGGCTTCGCTGTAATGCATTGATCTGCTCTTGGCTTATTAATGCTGTTTCTTCTGACATTGCCAGTCAAGTTGTCTATTTGGACGAAGCTTCTGTGGTTTGGAGGACACTTGAAACCAGATTCAAGCAGAAGAATGTTGCGAAAATCTTTCATGTTCAGCAACAGATAGCCACATTACAACAAGGTTCTCTAGACCTCAATACCTTTTTTACCAAGTTGAATGCCCTTTGGGAGGAGTTGAAAAATTATGAGCCATATCCGACTTGCTCTTGTGGAGGCTGTAGCTGCAATGCAAATTTGAAACTTATCGAGTTATGTGAGCGGCGAAATGTGGTGACTTTTTTGATGAAGCTCAATGAGTCCTATCATGCGGCTCGTCGGCAGATTCTTATGCTAGATCCCCTGCCATCTATGTCCAAGGTCTATAACATGGTTTCCCAAGAGGAACATCAACGGCAATCGCTGCCGGTGATCTCTGACTCTGTTGTTTTCCAGGCCAGTGCACACCCGATCTCTCGATCGAAACCTCAGTTCACGAAGCATTCCAGGCCTCGTCCTCTTTGCAGTCATTGCGGTCTTCTTGGACACACTGTTGATCGTTGCTACAAGCTCCATGGGTATCCCCCAAGTTCGAAGAAGCCTCCTCTGTTGCCATCTCCAAAGCCACAACATCTGGTTAATTTGGTTAGCTCGGATTCTTCGAATTTCTCTAGCGCTGTTGCAGTCCCTCTATCGACGCAGACCACTTTGGATCAAGCACAAGCCTTGTTTGATGCGTTTCAGACCCAACTTCAGAATCTGAGCACTCCTTCCATTGAATCAGGCGAACCTTCTTCCTCTTCCCAACCTTCTCCTTCAGGTATTTCTCCTTTCACTTTCCCTGTTTTATCCATTGCCAAACCTGGTCCGATCTTTTCCTCAGCCTTCTGGATTTTGGATACTGGCGCCACTAGCCATATTTGCTGCGACTTAATGCTATTCTCCGATGTTCACTCCATTGCCACTGTCACTATTACTCTTCCAAATGGTTCAACCATTCCGGTTAATCAATCTGGGACAGTGCACATTTCTCCATCTTTGATTCTACAGTCTGTCTTATTTGTTCCAGTTATTCGTTTCAATTTGTTAAGCATTAGTGCATTAACATCTTCTACACCTTATATTGTTTCCTTTTCTTGTGACTCTTACACAATTCAGGACCCTACTCGGGACTTGACGATTGGGAAGGGTAGCAAACATAATGATCTTTATATTTTGGAGATGCAGACCACTTCTGCAACTCCGATCGCTTTTCCTCGTTCCATTTGCACGGCTGTCACTACTGCTCCTTTTGATTTGTGGCACCAACGTCTCGGTCACCCTTCATTTCTTAAATTTCAAGCTCTTGGTCATTCTTCTCAGCTCAAGTTTAGTTATAATAAGCAGTTGCTTTCTCATTGCTCAATTTGTCCGATGGCAAAGCAACGCAAATTACCTTTTCCTTCCTCTGGAAACATTTCTGTTTGCCCTTTTGATTTAGTCCATTTGGACACTTGGGGACCGTTTCATGTTACTTCCGTTGATGGTCACCGATATTTTTTAACAATTGTAGATGATTGTACTCGAGTGACATGGGTCTACTTGTTGAAAAATAAAAGTGACGTTCTTAATAAATTCATTCAGTTTCTTTCTTTTGTTGACACTCAATACAATGCCAGAATAAAATCGATTCGTTCCGACAATGCTCCGGAATTATCTTTTGGCACACTTTAGCTGATCGCGGCATTACACATTTTCGTTCTTGCCCGTACACTCCACAACAAAATTCTGTTGTAGAACGCAAACATCAGCATATTCTTAACGTTGCTCGTTCTCTTCTTTTTCAGTCTCACATTCCTTTATCTTATTGGGGTGATTGCGTTCACACTGCGGTTTATTTAATTAACCGTATTCCGACTCCTCTACTTAATCATCGTTCTCCTTTTGAGGTTCTCACCCAAACCAAACCTATTTATTCACATTTACGTGTCTTTGGGTGTCTTTGTTACGTGTCGACGCTTTCTAAAAACCGACACAAATTTTCCCCTCGTGCCACACCTCATGTCTTTCTTGGTTATCCCTCGGGTATCAAAGGTTATAAGGTACTCGATTTGGAAACGAATTCTGTCTCTGTGTCTCGTGATGTCATTTTTCATGAAAGTATTTTTCCTTTTCATTCAGATTCTATTTCTTCTCAGACTCTTTCTTTTTTTCCTGTCAGTCGACATCTTTCTTATTCTCTTTACGATTCTACTCATGTTTCCTCTGGTTCTCGTTTGTCCTCTGATTCGAACAAAACGACGACACTTCCTTCTGAGTCATGTTCTGTTTCAGATAGTTCTCTGGACATAGTTCCCCCAGTTGAACCTTCTGCTTCTTCTTGTCTTCCTGTTGTTGTGTCATCGGAGAATGTCAGAAAGTCGCAGCGCACATCCAAACCTCCAGCTTACTTAGCCCACTACCATTGCTATTTTTTGACCCATAATAAACCACCACCAGACATATCTTCGACACCATACCCACTTTCTTCTTGTTTGTCTTATTCCAAATTGAACCCTGCGTATCGCACCTTTGCTCTTTCTATCACCGCCGAAACTGAGCCACGTTCTTTTCACCAAGCTATTAAATCTGATCAATGGAAAGAGGCGATGCTTCTCGAGTTGGATGCTCTCACACGTACTCAGACTTGGCAGCTTTGTCCTCTTCCTCCCGGCAAACGACCTGTTGATTGTAGGTGGGTCTACAAGATTAAGCATAATTCCGATGGCTCGATCGAAAGGTATAAAGCTCGTTTGGTCGCTAAGGGTTACACACAATTGGAGGGTATCGATTATTTAGAAACTTTCAGTCCTGTTGCTAAACTAACGACTGTTAGAGTTATTCTGGCTTTGGCTTCATCTCAGAATTGGTTTCTTCATCAGATGGATGTCTCTAACGCTTTTCTAAATGGCGATCTTAGCGAGGAGATTTTCATGACTCTTCCTCCAGGATATTCTACACTTAAGGGGGAGCAGGTTCCACCAGATTTCGTCTGTAAACTTCAGAGATCTCTTTACGGATTGAAACAGGCTTCGCAGCAATGGAATCTGAAGCTGTCTCGAGTTTTGATCAGTGCTGGCTACCGTCAATCTCATGCTGACAGCTCTCTTTTCGTTCAGGTCTCTGCTTCAGGTTTTGCTGCTGTTCTTGTTTACGTCGACGATTTATTAATTACAGGGAATTCTGCCTCGATGATCTCTGATGTCAAGAGTCTTTTAGCTTGCAACTTTCAGCTCAAAGATCTCGGTGACTTGCGTTTCTTTCTGGGATTAGAGATTGCTCGTTCGAAACAGGGAGTTCATGTCTGTCAGCGTAAATACACGCTGGAACTCTTGGAAGATTTTGGGTTTCTTGGCTGTAAACCCGCCACCACTCCCATGGATGTCAGGGAGAAACTTTCAGCTGATTCCGGTGAGTTACTTGAGGATGCTTCACATTACAGACAGCTCATCGGCAAGCTTATATATCTTTCTTTGACACGCCCCGACATTAGTTTTGCTGTCCAAAAGCTCAGCCAATATATGTCGAGTCCTCGGACGACTCATCTTCAGGCTGCGCATCGGGTCCTTCGTTATTTGAAATCTGCTCCTTCGCAAGGTCTAATTTATTCCGCAGATTCTGATCTTCGATTGAGTGGCTATACAGATGCGGATTGGGCTTCATGCCCCGACTCGCGACGTTCCGTTACTGGTTTCTGCATCTTCTTAGGCTCTTCCCTTGTCTCATGGAAGTCTAAGAAACAGCAAATTGTCTCTCGCAGTAGCGCGGAGTCTGAATATCGAGCAATGGCGCAGACAACGTGTGAACTTGTTTGGCTCGATAGCTTGCTTCGTGACCTGCATATTCGATGTTCTCGCCCTATCACTCTATATTGTGATAGTCAATCCGCCATTCATATTGCTAATAATCCCGTTTATCACGAACGGACGAAACATATAGAGTTAGATTGCCACTATGTTCGTGATCAACTCAAGTCCGGTTTTCTCAAGCCTCTACATGTTTCGTCTCGAAATCAAGTTGCCGATGCTCTTACGAAGCCGTTACCGACTGATCAGTTTAGGGTGTTATTATCCAAGATGGGAATACATAATTTATATTCTCCATCTTGAGGGGGAGTATTAACGTATATTTTACGGATTTGTTTCTTTCCTTATTTATAGTAGTATTGTTGATATTTTTCTGTTGTAAGATAAGATTTCATTCTTATCTCTTGCTCTGTATATATATGGAAGCGTACAAAGTGAATAAAGCATCACAAATTTCCCCTTTACTTTTCTAAACGTATTAGGAGTTTATAATAAAACGTTTTTTATTTGGCTAAATCCGAGGAGTGAAACTAATCCCGGTATTGGGCAGCCAAGAATCTCCGTCAATGAACTCACCAACGCTGAACTCCATGGCATCTTCAAACCTCATAACATGAAAGCCTCTCCACTTCACCCTCTCGGAGAGCCCCGCTCCTCCTCCATAGTTCTTGTACTCTCCAAAATACAACGTCCCTTCATCATCGCTCCCCGAATTCAGCCATTTCACCCATCCTTCCCCCGAAATCGCCTCATCTATATACGTTTCCATCACTATACATCTCGAATACGCTTTCCACGGTCTCCCCAAATACGAGCTATACCTTCTTTTCACGGGAGAAAACTGCGAATCCGTTGTGATTTTGCAGTTCTGTAGAGAGAATCCGGTGTTTTGTTTCGGATCGGTTCTTCCATTTGCCATTATCACATTGTAGGCTCTTGTATCGTACGGGCGACCTAGGATTAAATTGCAGTGCTGGAAAATCGCGGCTGCGTTTCCGAATATAAAATCTACGGTGCCGTAAATATCGCATTCTCTGTAGAACTGTCTTAAAGCAACAGTGTAGAGTGTGTCTTGATAACCGGAAATGCTGCATCTGTATAACACTGACCGGTCCGAGGCAATGCTTAGGGCTATGGCTTGTTGTCCCATTGGACCGGCCGTGTTCTTGAATCCAATGTCCCGTCCGATGAATCCATCTCCGGTAACAGCTGAAAAACCAAATGAAAAACGTTTTTATATTAGAAAAAAATGTTTTAAAAATGTTATTCAACACATATATGTATGTGTGTATAGATATATATGTATGCTAATTTATGTGGATCTATGTGTTCTTGGTGTATGCGAGAAAGGTTTTGCAGAGAGTTTGAAACTAGATTCTTGTCAGCAAACACATGTATATATGCATGCATGCATGCATGAATGTATGTATGTATGTACTGACTGAAAGTGGCGGAATCTGGCATGGAAGCTCCCCCGGCGACGCTATCGCCGCCGACGAAGACCGTCCGATCTTTTCCATCTCCGATCAACGTGACGTCATCTCTCTCGATGTTTACCTTCTCCTTATAGATACCTGCTTTCACGTAAATTACGATTCTGCCCTCTCTTGGAGCCGCCGCAATGGCGTCCGCCACAGTACGGAAGTCCCCGGAACCATCTTTGGCCACCACCGCATGGACCCTACCCCTCGATGTGGGGGCCCCGAGAAGCCTCCTCTCTCCGGTGGAGACCCACCGAGGAAAAACCGTTGACTTTGACCTCTTCCTTGACTTTACCTTGACCCTGTCGACGAGGGCCAAGGAGTTGCTGACGTGGCGGGAGAGGTGATCCATCATCTGGGCTATGCGGCTGATCATCGCGGCGGAGGCTTCGCCGGATATATCGCCGGAGGAGGCTGAGTCCTTGCATGCTTGTTGGAAAGTCATGGCGGCGGAGAGCCATGTGGTGACGTCATCTTTGATGCTTCGCCTTCGCTTTCTTGACGATGGCAACTCATTGAGAGCTTCCATGGCTTGGTTCAGCCGTTTCGTCGACATCTTCATGAACCGTCCACATGAATCTGTAATAATTTCAATATACATAAAATCGGATTCGAAGGAATCAAATTATACAAAAAAAAAATAGAAATTAAAGATATTGAACGTACCCGAGACAGAAAGCAAAGACGTATACTCTGAATCTTCGAGAGACACGAGCTGGGAGGAGAGAGTGAGCTTCTCGGAATCGGAAATGGTCTTGTTGACGATAAGAGACACAAGCTCAAAACCTCGTGCGCCATAACCGAACTCTTGTAAGCTTTGGACACAAAGAGAAGGGTACAGTGTTTGACTGCATTGCCTTCGGAACCGGTTTCGGTAAGCAAATGGCATGCTCCTAGTGGCATCCACAATAAGGGCACTCATCAATACCCCAAACAAAGCAAAATCCGCAATACCCATCTCTCAAAAAACAAATCTTTTTTTTATAGGTTATATATATATATATGTTATTTTATTGGTTTCTACAAGGGAATTTGATGAAATCCGATGGTTTTAGACTTTAGATAAAGAGATCGGGTTTTAATTTATAGGGAGTGGAAGAACCTCATTTCAAGGGAATATTGGTTAAGTATGTTAGTTTATGAGATTAGGTTCTGGTATTGTTAGTTTAGCGGTCCAACATTTTTTTTCCTACGGGTAGATGAATTAAGTAGCTTTAGGTCTCTATAATATCGTTTTCATTTTTTTTTCCTACGGGCATATAACTCCGTCTAGACATGAATTCGATCGTCTTTATAACCGATCCCAAATACGGATAAAGGATGAGAGTTTTGCGACAAGTGTCAACCACCAAACGCAAAACTATGTAATTTTAAGGCGATATCGATGTATGTATATATGTACCTATATGCGTATATACGTACATAACTAGCTAATAGAATGTGCAACTTGTAGCAACCGGAGAAGGTCAGAAAATTTTATAGTTTTTTCGGTTACGATAATAATTATCATTTTATAATTAAGTGTCCCAATACAAGTCAATTGTTAAATGGTATTTTGATCGATTAACCACATTCATTTTGGTATCGAGGCATTAGAAAAATGAGGAATTGGTTAAATTAGATAAAAGAAATCGTCAATAAGTGTAGCTGAACCACCAAAGTAGATGTGCCGCTTGAAAAGCCTCCCGGTATCCTATGCTAGTTAGTTTCTTTACATGAAGATTTTTTTTTTTGGTTGAATGTGCTTTGTATTCCTTCCTAAAAAAATTATGTACAAAAACATTTCCAGATCTTTACAAAAGAAACCGAAAAGGTAGACAAATTCCCATGTTTAGTAGGACCCAAAATTAAAAAACTCTGTTTGTTGAAGATCTGATTAGCGCCATCATCGTGCTTGCCTGAAATAGTACCAATGCTCTAGTAGCCGGCATGTTGAGTTCTGCCGATTTGAAAACTTCATAGAAAGTAGGTTATCTCGCATTACCCTGTCAATTTAGATCTTGATTTCATCAACGGTCCTGGATTTTCTCCGAAATATCCGATTATTCCTCTCGCGCCAAAGCTCATAAACTGAAATTTGGGTGCATAACTTCACTATCGTCGGTTGCCCTCGGTCTCTCGGGTTTCCTGATCTTTCAATCCACTGGTGATGAGGACATCAGATCTAACAACATCTCGTAAAGAAGATCTTGGCGGAAGCATACACAGAGAAAAGGTAACGGCAAACCGAGTTCCACAACCGAGTTCCACCTCAGATCGAAGCCACCAAGTAAAAGGAAGTTTCTTGGAGTGCAAGACAATTATCCAAAGGAAGCTTCTTCATCATCAAGGCAACTCCAAAAACTAGCTTCCCAACCACCTCATTTAATGCAACATCAAGGAACTCCAACAACTAGCTTCCCAACCACCTCATTTAATGCATTGGATTCCTACCTCTCTTGCATGTTCTTGTCATTTAATGTTGTAGTTGAGAATTCTAGCCTATATAAAGGTCTTGTAATGCATCATTTGTAATCAGACTTGTAGAATGTCTCAAACATTTCGAGTTTTATAAACTCTTCTTCGGTTTGTCCGAAATTTATCCCGATCTTCGGTGTGTTCGAGATCACGAGTTTGGTGTATCAGAACTCAAGCCTTGGTGTGTCCGAGGTCCACTATCTATTCTTTCCCTTCATTCCATCCATTTTTCTATCTTAGTTTTGAATTCGAGAGCCTTTTAGAGCCGGTGATTGAAACTAAGATCCATCCAATTCTCCTTCGTTTTAACCACAATCCGAACGCGAATTCGAGAGCCTTCTCCGTGAAGCGGGTGATTGCGTTTTGGAATCTGATCCAACGGAGACTAACCATTGAAGACCAAATCTGATTGCTGAACGGGCACTTGAAGAACAAGTGTTTGTGTGTCTCTTGGTCAGCGTTGCAGAGAACACAAACTGTGTTAATATGCATGCCCCACGATACCAGCCGATCTACTATCGGTAATCGCCCCTAGAATGCCTGTCAGATTAGAAAAGACTATCTCGGGATCGTCCCTCGAAACCATACTAAGCTGCGCCATGAACCTGGGTTCTCAACTGATGTCGCGTACTGGAGGAGTGGAACACGGGCTTGTAATCTCCCGCTCTCTGTGTTAATATGCATGTCCCACTTCAGCTCGTATATTTTTATTATTCGGACGGTAGCAAGATCAAACGTGGCAAGATCGATTATTCGACCGTCATATTCGAGAAAACAGATACCCGATTTTCAAATACCCGGATTGCGGCAAGATAGGATCGAATGCAGTAAGATGATTATCCGACCGTTGGATTCGAGTTTGGATTAGGTGTAACGATAACGAAATTATGATCACTAAAAGAAACGTACAGTCATTTCTATTCGATCTTTTATCTTATTAACTGGATAGTATTTGACAGATATACGTATGGCTTTTGTATACTCAAATTTAAGAAAACTGAAACAAAGTTATCGTCGAGGTCTTGGGTTCGATTCCACTGGTGGGGAGAATGTAATTTATGGATCAAAATAGTCCATATACAAAGATTAGTTCTGGATCTAGGATGGATGTAGTCGAGTCAAAGGTTTGAGGAACCTCCTGATTATAAAAAAAAAAAATTGAAACAGGGTGAAAAATACTCCGACCGGAGGGTTTGGTTGAAGCGACAACGTTTGATTGGCCAATGGCAAAGTTGAGCCGAGCTTAGAGGGGCAAACCAGTAATTTGCCGTGGTGTGTGTTGGTGGCCGTTAAAAGCCATGGCCGAGTTCTCTCTGCATCCAAAAAAAAAAAAAGAGTTCTTGTAAAACCCTGGCTTTTACTTTCTGCATTTTTCTTTCTTTTCTGTTCAATTTCCGGCAAGATCTGAGCTTGTTCTTCGAGTAGAGTTTCATTCGTATTCAGTAAATTGGGGTTTGATTTTTTGATTTTTTTTTTTTTGTAAATAGGAGGTTCATTGGTTATCGGAGATAAATTTTTATTTGTCTAAACACTTTTCTCCGTACGTGGATATTCTATACATGATCTATTATCATCAAACCACCAAAATTTGTGTCGGGCTTGAGTTAGTACAATATTAAAGAAACATATGGCCATAATTCTATTTTTATTGTATAGTATACAATTAGCCCAGTACTATTTTTTTTTGTCACGTTAAAAAATTTAATGACTTCATTAATCCTTAAAAATATTTTATCTAATTAATAAAAATCATATAAATCTCCAGAACAAAGTAATGACAAATATCACATATTATATTCATCTTTCAAAAGTCGAAAACCACGAGAAGAAGAAAACAAGATGTTCTAAATAAAGAAACATATGTTCATATTTATTCCTATCAATATGCGAACTTGTAAAAAATCTCAAATAAATAAACGGATTTTAAAATTTCTAAATAAATACATAAATTCTTCCAAATTTCTATATTCAATACTGAAGTTTTTAAACCTAATTGAAATAAATTATGAATTTTTAAAATTATTCCAAAAAATCGCCATGAAATCAAATGTTAAAATTTTAAACAATTCCCAAATACTACCACAATATGGCCTTTTTGGAAACTTTTTAAAAATTCATGTTTTAGTGTAGAAATTAAAAAGAGTTCATATATATTTTTAGAAATCTTAAAATTCGTGTATTTATCTTTTTTTTTTTACAATTTCGTATATTAATACTAGAATTTTCTTTTAATAAAACCCATGCAATTCCAGATTACATAAAAGAAACATGCGACCATTTCTCTTAGATCTCGTGAAATCCTCGTTACTACTAACACGTACAAAAGTTTTCCAATCATATAAAAATAACGGTACAAAAATGCCAATTTTTTTTTTTTGTTAACGTACAAAAATACCAATTTCACAAACGAAGTAATGACAAATATCACAGATTTTATCACTCAGACGTTACAATATATATATATATATATATATTACAAGAACACAACCAAACATAGTTTATACGTACGATTTTCATATAACCTAGGAGCTTAGACCAGCAGTATACCTAACACCGGTGGCCGGTAACCATAGGTTCCCTTCAATGAAAGAAGCGACCGTGAAATTGTTAGCCTCGGCCGAGCTGTTCAGAACATGGTAGCCCGGCCATTTAACCCTATTCTCGAGCCGAGATCCCGGCCCGTAATTCATATACTCTCCGTAATATAACGTATCCAATGCGAAATTCCCGTTCCACTCCAGCCAACCCTCGGGTCTAACCGCCTCGCTTATGTAGTTCTGCATGAAGACGGTACGGGAATACAGCTTCCATGGTCGTCCTAGGTACGTATACGTCGTGTTTATGTACGGAACTAGATCCGTATCGGCCGTCACGTTGGAGAATTGGACAGTGAACCCTGTCGGCTCGTTAGGATCTTTCCGACCTTGAGCCGTGACGATGTTCTTCTGATTAGGCAAGCCTTTCCTTGCCTTGATCTGACAGTTCTGGAAAACGGCTGTTGCGTCGCCGAATATGAAATCGACGGTTCCCGTCACGACGCACTCTCGGAAGAATTGCCGCATCGTGTGAGCGTAGAGTGAGTCTTGGTAACCTCTCACCGCGCAACGGAAGAAAACCGATAGGTCAGAATCTGACCGTAGGGCCACGGCTTGGTGCTTCTCCGGTCCGGCCGTGTTTTGGAACGTTATGTCTCGTGCGATGAACCCTCTTCCGCTCACGGCTACAACATTGTAACATCACATGAACTTTTCTTGGTAGAAATATGGGATATGAAAATCTTTGCACATAATTAGTAAAGGAACTTTATATGATTTTTAGTGTGATTTACTTTGATTTGTTTCTGATTAGGATTTTATTTTGAATTAGGGTATTTCGGTTCGGTTCTGTAAAACCAAACATATTGAAAATTGTATTCGAAACAAATTCCATATAAAAACCAAATGTATATAACTTTTTTAAAACCCAAAAATCGAAATATCGGTACAGCCAAATGCAAACCCGGACCAAAACCGAATTGAATGTAAAAAAACGAATGAATATATATTTTTTTAAATTTTAAAAAAAAAAATTATAGTCAGTATAGAGTCTTATCGTTTATATACATCCAAACACAAAATGATAAATCATTACTCACCAAAAGTAGCAGATCGGAATGTGGTCCAACCGTCGATGAAATTCCGGTTACCGGTGATGACGGTGACGTCCATTCCATCTCCGATCATCATAATGTTCCATTTCTTCTTCTTGATCTCCACATTCTCCGAATACACTCCTTTCTTCACATATATCACATACCGGTTTTCGCTATTTTCTGGCACCGCTGAAACGGCATCCATTATCGTCGTGAAATTTCCCGTCCCATCGGCTGCCACCACAGCATCAGCCTTCGGAATTCCGCCGGTTTGCAGCAGTTTCCGGTCACCGGGTCTGACCCATGGAGGGAATTTGTTGAAACCGCCGTGACCGGAACCGGTTAAGTGATTTTGGGCCTCGTTGGGCTTGGATCTGGGTTTATGGTGAACCATGGCTAGGAGATTTCGAACCAATGGACCGACCCGGTTAAGGCCACCGGTTATGACATTTTTTATAATTCCATGAGTGCCCTCGAAGCCCTCGAGACACGTGTCCATGTCGGAGAACGCGGCACTGATCCATGTCCTGAGATCTGTGGTTATGTCCCCTGTGCTGTTGTCTTTGCCTGATTTCGATCGAACCCCCATGCACATTTAATTTGTGGGGTAAAAGTGTCAATTCGCTTAAATAGAATAATATAAAATCGAATAAATGCCCACACAGAACAATTGCAAAATACAATGAATATGATATATAGGTAAAAAAAAAAAAATTGCCTAAATACACCACGTCTACATTTTCGGATTTTGCAGTCCATATTCTTAAAATTATATTGTCTACAAAATTTTTATTTTTTTGGACAAAATATTTATTTATTAATGTAAATAGTCTAAAATACCTTTGGTGCAATTTTTTTTAAAAAAATATGCTAAAAGTTGTAATCAGTATGTTTAGCACGTGCATACAAGCATATATATATACACACATACATACGTGTATATGTTCAAGATTCGTATAAAATAAAGAGGGAATATGAAAAAGCAAAAGGAGGCTCTCTTCACAGTGAGCCTTCTAGAGTAGACAATGCTATTATTCCATATAGTGTTCTTTTTCACCGGTTTTCACATTGAAATAATAAAATGCATTAAATAAAACCTTGAATAATCTCCCCTCATATAGTAATTATTATTATTATTGTTATTAATTAATTCATGAATTTAGAGAGAGAGAGAGAGTTATTACCGTTGGGGTTGAGAGAAGCGTCGATGGACCAAGAGAGGACATCACAAGCGACATCAAGAAGATCTAAGCAGTCAAGAATGGAATTCGCCATCCTAAAATCTCCGGTTTTCTTCTGAAACCTTGACAAAAACCCGCCGGCTTTTCTCATGGCGTCGACGGCGGCTCTCGCAGCTCCGACGAACTCCGACGTCGGAACCCTCAGACACTCATTCTGCACAAACCCAGATTCCCCTTTCGCTGAAGCAGCGACGAGGCTTAAGGCCAATGTTATGAACACCGCAACCACTTCTCTTCGTCCCGATCTCAACATTTTCTTGTGTGTGTGTGTGAGAGAGAGATATATATATAGAGAGAGACAGAGAGTGTAATGTGTTTTTATAAAGAGAGGGTTTGGAGATAAGCTTTAATGGGACTTTAATAGCAAACCGATAAAAGAGATGATCAATCTCACTTTAATAGCCACCGGAATTACGCGGAGATCTTTCACAAGTGGTAGGCCAAAATAAATAAAATCGAAAGAAAAAGAAATGAATTTATGTGGGATAGAAATTATATAATTAATATGGTCAAGTGAGTGACTGTGTATTATGGGCACAAGAACTGTTTCGTGTGCGGCTTTTTCCCTCTTTTTTTTTCTTAAATTGTTTTCTAACACATTTTTTAAAATGTTTATTTTTATAAAAATAAAGTTACCAATGAGAAACTAAAATTGTTGTTGTGATGGAAGTAGTTTTCAATAACTTCGATTTTCACTCGATCAACTTCTACATACTTTTGAATGATCTTATATCCAAGACGACCTCAATCATAAAATGACATTTTTTAATTAAATATGAGATTTGTTTGTACAGAACTATATAAAATTCTACGTAAATTCACTAGACATGTATTAAATAACAGTCTATGAGCATAAAAGACATCCATAAATACTTCCATGACATATATCTTTGATAATATCGGAGAAGATTACCATCATACATAATTGGAATACTACAGAGATGTTGCATAACCTAAAAGACATAAAATAGTAAGCAAATTTATCGTATAAACAAGTGAACATAATCTTTTCTTTGTCATTGGAATATATAAAAATCTGGATGAATGTTGAAAATTTATCTATCAAGCAGAAGTAGGAATGTGGATGGTTAATCTTTCGAACAATTGATCAATGAATGATAAAGAAAAATGATCCTTATGAATGTTTCAATTAAATTTTTGACAGCCAATACACATCTGCCATCTGTCACTGTTTGAGTGAGAGTTATTTTTCTCGTGTGTACGGGTTCACCTATGAGCCATGACCTATACGAAATAAGTTTTTTTTTTTTGTTACGATGGGAAATCTCTATCTTACAACCCTTCGGGTCGAACACTGGACACGAACAACGCCTCTCAATCTATGGGCTGGACGAGAACGGCATCAAGACAGTATCGCGGACCTGAAAAAATCCACCGCTCTGCGCAGTAACCGGTAAACTACGCAGAGTAAGTAAACTAACCTCATAAAACTGACCATCTCAAGAGGAGTTTCCATATCTGGGTTTCGAACCCAAAACCTTTTGGTAGAGGGGAAATAAAGTATTCTTTCTTGACTATTTGTTTTATAACGAGATTCAACCGACGCGGTGTTCAACGGATGATTTACTTTCGGTTTCTCCGCGATGCATGTAAAAGGAATTAGGTAATCTCTTTTATATCCTCTAATGTGTATTTTATATTATGAGTATATGAAACGATTTACTTAATGCATCGTTGATGATTATAGGATAAGCCTTATCATATTAAGATATTATTTAAATTATTCATCATAAATATTAAAACATATTTGTGTATATTATCTTTTTATTTATACGACAAATTCACGTTATAAAATTGATGACGTGTACTGTCATATAATCTTATAATTGACGGGTATCGTTAAATTTAACGAGGTTTAAGATTATATTGAAAATTGCTAAAATGGTTTTAGGATTTGGTGTATGTATGTGACGTTATTTAGTTTTTTTTTTAATCAAATTAAAGATTTGTGGAAGATATTGTTGGTACAGAGGATTTTATCATTTTTCCATTTATTAAATATATATATATATATATACTAACTGCCGTCAATGTTTTACGAATTAAATTGGTTTTTCTCAAAAAACGAAAATGTCGGTTCGATGAGATTAAAAGAAGACGCCAAAGATGTGTCGGTGCATCTTATTCAGAGTCCGAACCATGTGGCATGATCTTGGGAGGAAAAATATATTTTGCAATTTAATTATTCAATATCTTATATTTAATAGTGAGTGAAACAGTTAGCCGGTGAAATAGGTACATAAAATGCGTATCTCTCGTCCAAAATTCGAATTTTAAATTGGGAGAAAGAGTTTATATTCCAAATCATCTGGTTGACTTTCGATCCTATGATTAATTTGGATCTTGGTACATGATATCCGATCACCCCAAAAAATTCATTCGCATCTTAAGCATGGAAGGAATATATACTTAGATATTATTATATTTATTTTGTTCTTGTTATATCAAATTGATAGAAATGGTATAGAGATAACATTTGTTCCATTGTATGTATATATGTGTATCATTTTCTTCTCGGTGGAAAAACAACAAAAACATTGAGATGTTACATTTTATTTGGGGAAAATGTCAGTATTTTGATCCTTTAGCACCAGAGTCTTTATTTATTTTTTCCTTCCATCTCCTAAACATAAAAATAAAATTCTAGGTTAATTTCACAACACATATCATTTACATAAATATTCTTTGAAGATTCTTTGAGTTAATAATAACTATATTTAAAATTAAATTTAGAAATCTCTTGGGTTAATGTTCTAAAAATAGTATTAAAGAGTTGTTAGATGCTGATATTTTTCTAAGTTAAAAGAAAAAATGGATCAACCTTCCGGGTCATCTAATCCGATTTTCGTCGATTGTTTAAATTATCTAACATGATTACATTAAAATAAATTTTTTTGTTTATCATAGAAAGATTTTATATAAGATAAATAACACAACGATATTTTAGAATAAATGATAACGTTATTTTAATTGTAAAAATCTTTATGTGGTTTTCGGATTCGAAATCAAATAATTTATAGGAAAAGAAACTATCTTTACACCCTAAAAACAATTCGTTCGTCTATTCCAAATTTCATTACGTACTTTTTCGAATACAGAATGTGGTTATGCTTTTTCTCTTCTTTTTCACGTCCGCCAGTTTTCCTATTCAAGATCTCATTTTATTATTTTTTAGTTTTTTTTTTAAATTTCTAAGGAAATGGAATTAAATTAAACTAAATGAAATTATCAGAGTAAAAACCTGTCGTATCGAACAGAAATATTGAAACGTCAAATTCGGTGTAAGAAAAATTTTAAATTGAAAACGGATATTTTCTTTTATAAACGTTGGAATATTTTGTTGAAAATTCTAAATTAAAAAAAATGAGCATATGCTATTTATGAAACGTAATTGCATGAATTCCATAATATAAAAAAAAAAACAAATTGTTGGAGCATGACTAAAAAATATAAGAGAAAAGGGAAAGAAAAAAAGGCGAGGAAAACGCGTTGTACAACTTTTGCGTTTTGGGTCCATCACGTTCTCATTCACTTTCCCGTAATCTTTTAATATTGGTCAATTTTAGTGCAACTGTGCAAGCGAATATACGCACACGATAAGGGTGATATCGTGGAGACTCAACCACTCTCCACCCGCCACGTGTCATCGGACGACTTGGGCCATATAAAATGAAACATAATCTCCAACTGCATTATGTGTATTTGCTAATGAGTTCATAGGTGTATGAAACTTGAACCAATTTCATAACTTCATAAAATTTTGTTATAACCAACCAACTTGACATTTATACATTTCTTTCAAAATCTCTATATATACTCAAAATCTTGAAGAAAACTCTTAATTCTTTTTTTTTTTCAAGAAGACTGAATATTTCTTTTACAATATAGCCAAGTTTATAAAATATGGAAACATGAACTATATATTAAAATATTTCCGTACAAATTGAGGTTTTCAAGTCACATATAAAATGAGACAGAAAGAATCTCATATCCTGAGATAATTAATAAGATAGATATGCCTCTGAAACATTTCTTATATATATATAATTAGGAAGGAACCGATCAAGGAGAGGCGAAACCTGACTTGTACGAAGCAAATCGCCCTCCGATGAATGACACCTTATGTCGCAAGCCGAGAGAGCAATATTTACCGTTGCAACAACGACTTCAATTGTGCTTTGAAAAGGGTCGGCTGATGCGCCTTGGATATCCATCCGACAATATTCCGGCACGGCAAATCACATATCACAAGATCGAGAATCATATAGGAATGTGATTCATACTAATGTTTCGTTCAGAAGATCAAACAACACCTCAAGGGCACAATTTCTAAATCTAATGTGAGATAAGATAAACCGGCTAGCACTGGTAATGAGTAATGTTCGGTCACATCCAAACTTTCATCTGCATTGGCAAAGATATTGTGCAAAGGCTTTCTTGATGTTACAGAGAAAGGTACGAACAATTCTCAAATGATTTTTCAACAACTGATTCAATTTCATCTGTCTGCAGTTGCTGCGGTGAATATCATAAAGACACTCTCCATCCATATATATTTTTTTTGATAATATGAAAGTTTACCGGAATTTCGACCCAACTACATTTTTCACAGAGGATCGGAGGAGCCATGTGAATATCTCTCCTCAGATGGAGATTCGAACCTGTTTGGGAAGGAGGTGTGTTCTCTTCATTAACTCCGAACTATACAGTAAGAACAAAAACTGCAGAATGTATTGGAGAAGTTTAAACAAGTTAACGTACTCGAACAATTGCAGTCAGCAGTCATCAAGGCTCCTTGCTGCGTGACTTGATAATGACAAATGGCTCGAGAATGTTTCCAGATACTTCATACCAAGCTTGTCTCGGAGAATCCATGGCGTACTTGCTGCAATCTTTTCATCGTGACGGCTACCAGCCAGATTGGTAACACACGGGCAGTGGACTGTTTCAGCTCTTCACATAAAGCTGTTAACAAAACACCTGTTCGGCTGAGTGAGTGATTGGACAGCAGCATCCCCAGAGATGTGGTTTGAAATGATATGTTCAAGCCGAGAGACACATTCTAGGAAGTGCATTCCAAGTGCCTCTTGAAGGCTGTATCCATTGGCTCTGCGTCACATGAGGCCAGCAATTCGAATGGAATGGTCAAACATTCTGTGGGCTTTGCTCCAAATAACGCTTGCAATCGAATTTCAACGAGTACGAAGTTGGATACGCAGAACAAAACCATGCATGTCAACATGCCATATACATCACCAACTGTATTCAACACAAAACAGGCTTTTTCTTCTTCAACGGTCAGAAGATTTAAATTAAAACCGAACACGAGTGGAAACGAAAAACTTATCTGATAGATTCCAAATAAACTTAGAATTAAGACGATATTATTATGTTAAATTTAATTATTTAAAGTAATTTATAAAACGCGAGATCAAATTAAACACTGTATATACAAGAATTGGTTTTACTATTCTACCCCATTTGAATCCCCAAATTACAAAACCTACATATAATTTTGCTCTTGTAAATTCAATCTCCTAAAATTAAATATAAATGTTAACAATTAATGGAAAATTAAAACAAAAAATAAAAATTCAGGGAAGTAGATCGTCTCCGAAAAGGTAGAGAAGCCAAAAGAAATTTAATAATGGGAATAAGGCAATTGGTATAAGCTGTAAGCAACGGCGCCCTACACATCGGACATGTCCGGTGGTTGTCGTCGCCGCCCTCGTGGTCATAGTCAAGCCACCGGTCGATACACTCCCGATGAAACACGTGGCAACAGTTCCTGAGCTCTCTGACCTCGTCTTGGTCTCCCAGGTTCACTAAGCACACGGCGCAGGTATCGCTGATCCTCTCCGGATATCTCTCCGCCACGTCGCGGAACGTCGTCACGGCGAGGCTTTCCTTGATCGCCTGAGACGAAACCGACGGAGAGGAGGCAGATCTGGGTTGGGTTGACCCGGATGATCTGGATCGGTAACGGAGGATCCAAGCGAGGATCCATCTCAAAACGGCGATGATAACGGCCGTTTTGTAGAGAACGTGGGTGACGATAAGACCTGAATCTTCGATGAAGAAGCTCATTTTCCTTCCAAGATGCTGAAGAATGCAAAGAACACTTGCAGAGAGAGAGAGAGAGAGAGAGAGAGAGAGAGAAATGGTGGAGCATCAGATGCGTTTTTAGAGGGGAAATAAAGCTGATGATATGACGATGGTTGCTTTGCTTTTGCTTTGACAATGGTGGTGGCGGCTTCTTTTCATTTTTTAAAATTTAATTTAATTTTATCTTTTAATTGTTTTATTAGTTTTTTAAAAAAATTATTGAAATTTTTATTTTATTTTATTTTTTACTTATTTTCTGATGTGACAGGATGATATGGCGAAATGTGATAATTTGACAAAATATGTATGACGTGTCATGCCACGTCAGTATCAAAATTGACGGAACTTAACGTCATTTACAGATATGGGGGAAATTGCAACACATTTTAAGATTTTGTGTGGGAATTTGGAAATATTTGAAATCCAGTGTAGTTTTATATCAAATTAAAAATTGATGTAGAAAATTGGAACTTTTTCGAAAATTTGTGGAGAATATGGGATTAACCCAATTTAATTTAATTTTATCTTTAATTGTTTTATTTTGGTTTTTGTCAAATATATTTATTTACAAAGTGGGTTTCAAAGTCTTTAAATTTGATGATATAACCTCTCTATTTTTATTTTTTACGTTCAAAACTAAAAATATATTTATTTACTATTTTTATAATTTCGGACAGAATATCTTCAGAGGATGTGGGGATTAATTTAAAAGATGTTCTATGTTTGTTCTTATTCATTTTGATTGATTCTTGAATAAAATACCCAATTGAATTAGCAATATCAATATGATTCAAATATTTTATAAAGATAATTTAGTGAGTAAAATCTGTGATATTAATAACATATAAGACATGATTTAGTCATTTAGTCGTTTTTCTATCACTAAAACAATTCGAATTAGTAATATCGATATGATAAAAATAGAAATATGATTCTTTTCTTTAATCATTTAATAATTTGTTTTATCACTAAAATTTTTAATCAAATTTTTATGGTAGTTTTTTTTAATCAATCGTAACATTTAATTTAATTGATAAATGGAAATTGAACATAGGATTTAGTGCGATACGATACGCGTAATACTCGTTCGATAGCTGCATGGAAATTAAAACTTTCTGAGACCAAAAATGTAATTTAGAAAGTTAAGGGTTATAAATAGAAGAAAAGAAATGTTAGGGGAGCAATATGAAAAATAGGGGGAATGACAGTTTTTGAAAATAAAGAGAGGACGAGATATGCAATCGTACCTTTCTTTATCTCTCGCCCTCTTTTACGAAAGCACCCAAAAGAGAAACATATTTTACAAGGAAAATTCCAAAAAAAAAAAACGTTCAATATGTTCAAACCTTGTTTAAAAAAATTGCGTAAAATTTTAACTGCTAGAAAAAATACACCAAATAGTATTTTTATTTTATTTTATCAATTTCTTACATCCATGAATGGTAACGTCTTTAGATACCTCTCGGTTGAATGAGAGATTGTTTTTTTTTGTTTTCTACCATTTAAAAAATTTTCTTTGTATAGAGAAAATAAACGAGAGGTACGTACATTAAATGATGAGATTTTAATGAAAGATAAAAATATCATGTTGTAGAATCTTATTTGTTTTTAAAAAAATATATTTAAAATTAGAAATAGTGGTAATTGAAAGGAAAATAGCAAAAAGATGATATATTGGTTATATTGCCAATGGTCCATATGTTCCATTTTTTTTATAATTATGATGGTTCTCCGAATTTTCGATCCGATTATATCCACCCTAGATGCGAGACCAACTTTTGTATATGGATTATTTTGATTCAGAAATTACATCTCTCTCCATTAATAGAATCGAAGCCAAAAACTTGAGGATGACTTCTCTCTAAGAGCAAACGTGTTGGGTATGTTCCATTTTTGTTACCATTACACTTTAGTAATCCACGTGAGATCTCTCTATTTAAATTTCAACAAATGACGTAAGAAAAGAAATTTAATAATGGGAATAAGGCAATTGGTAGAAAAATAAATAAAGGTGGGAACGATGACGATCCTTCGACATGACAAATGGTTCGGTGATAAAGACAATTTGAACCCCACATGACACATCAGCTTCGAGAGGATCCAACTCAGATGCCATTACTTTCACAATCAGTTTGCCTTCTTTTCCAAATTAAATATTATTTATTTTTAGCAACAAAATAATCAATTTATCAGTTGGGAATTAACGAAAAAGAAGGGTCAAATGCTTTTTTGTTAGTGGCTTTGACTATATTCATAACATATTTAGAGTTTTCCAAAAAACAATATATTTGGATAAAACAATAAAAATAGACCGATGTGATTTTATATCGAAAAATTTTCATAAATAAAATCGATATTATATATATATATATATATATATATATCTATTGATAAATGGTGTTAATCATAATTTTGAGAATAAACTAAAATAACAGAATTAACAATAAATAATATCGTTGAAATGATCTTTTTAAAAAATTATTTATCAAAATCTAGAAAATAATAAATAATTAAAAAATATAAAAAAATTTAAAATAGATTTAGGAAATTATTTACAAAAACTAGTAAAAATATTTGAAAAAACCTGTATTAATGAAATAAATAAATTATCCAAAAGAATAGAATAATCATACAAATAAATTACCTAAAAGACATAAATAAGAAATTAGATCAAATAATTCATCTAAAAAAAATAATACATCAACATCAACATCAACATTGTCTTAGTCCCAAATTTATTTGAGATCGGCCGTATATATTTTTTGTTTTCATTCATTTCGTTTTTGCGTTAGCTCTTTCGGAATTTGTAACAATTCTAAATCATTCCTAATTGCACGTTTCCAAGTAAGCCTGAGTCTATCCCTCCTCTTTCTCTTCATCCCTATTCCTATACTTTCCACTTTTCTAACCGGCGCATCCATCGGCCTACGTTGTACATATAAAACCATCTTAAACGTCATTTTTTCTTAACTTCTCTTCTATATCTATTACACATATTTTCTCTCTAATAGTATCATTTCTAATTCTATCCATTCTTATGTGTCCACATAACTATCTCAACATCCTCGTCTCGACCACACTCATTTTAGCTTTTCACCGCCCAACATTCGCCATCCACATTTCTTGTGTCTATTTTATTCAACCCAATTTATTCTATAACCAACATCTTCGTCATAACCCCCATTCTTTTGAAAGATTGACCTAAGATATTTAAAATGCGGGTTTTGAGTTACTAATCCTCCTTCTAAACTAACTCCTACATCACTAGAACCCCTCCCACTAAAATCGCAATGCATATACTCGGTTTTCGTTCTACTAAACCTAAAATACTTAGCCTCTAATATACTCTTCCACAACTCTAATTGTCTATTCACTCCTTCTTTATTCTCATCTACTAGCACATATCGTCTGCGAACATCATGCACCACGATACTTCTTTCTGTATATTTTTAGTCAATTCGTCCATCACTAATGCAAAGAGGTACAAGCTTAGAACAGACCTTGGTGCAACCTTATCGAGATGGAAAAATCTCGAGTGTCACCTCCTTCTGTTCGGACACTAGTGGTCGCACCTTCATACATATCCTTCAACACTTGTATGTATCTCACTGATACCCCTCTACGCTCTAACATCCACTATAAAATCTCTCTTGGTACTCGATCATAAGCTTTTTCGAGATCGATAAATACCATGTACAAATCTTTCTTCATATCTCGAAACTTCTCCATCAAGTTACGAATGAGAAAGATTGCTTTCATGGTAGACTTTCCGAGCATAAAAACAAATTGATTTACAGAAATGATGTGTCGCTACGTAACGTCGCTCCACAATCCTTTTCCAAAACTTCATGGTATGGCTCACGGGTTTGATTCCTCTATAATTTATGCAAATTTAGATATTCCCTTATTTTTTTAAAGATAATGACTAAAGTACTTCGTCTCCATTCATTTGGCATCTTCTTCGACACTAGATTTTATTAAACAACCTAATAAGCCAAATTGCTCTCACTTTTCCTAAGCACTTCCATACCTCGATAGGGATATCATCAAGGGCACATGCTTTGATTATTTTCATCTTCTTTAGTGAATCTCTCACATCTACACATCTAATCCTCCTAGTATAACTCACATTTCTCTCTCTAGTAATAGTCTCTAGTTCTATGTGGTATGAATCTCTACTTTCGTTGTATAGATCATCGAAATAACTTCTCAATCTCTCCTTGATGTCGTCATCTTTAACTAAAGTATTACATTCCTTATCCTTAATACATCTGACGATGCTCAAGTCTCTAGTTCTCCTTTCTCTCGCCTAACTATCCTATATATATATATATCGTTTTCTCCTTCCTTTGTCCCGAGTCTCTTATACATTCTTTCAAAAGTCTTTGTTCTTGCTTGGCTAACGGTTTTCTTCACCTCCTTCTTAGCCAACTTATATTGTTCATATGCCTCATTTGAATTACATTTAGACAATCTTATACCACTCCCTCTTGGTCCTTAAAACCTTTTGTACTTCTTCATTCCATCACCACTTCTCCTTTGTTGGTGGTCCATCTAGCAATACTCTTAATGTTAGATGGCATATTATCCACATTTCATTGGCTTTCTTATCTTCGCTCCACACCTTCAATTTTAACATCTCTTTCTCGAATAGCTCGCGCTTTTGACCTTATAGATCCTACCACCTAATTCTAGGTATATCATTCTTCCTTGGACGAATAACCTTTTTCATGTTCTTGATATCTAAAACTAACAATCTATGTTGACTAGTTAGAGCTTCGCCCGGAATAACTTTTCAATCCTTACATAGAGTACGATTCGACTTTCTTGTAAGCAGAAAATAGATTTGACTACGGTTTTTCCCACTCTTAAAGGTCACTAGATGCGATTCCCTTTTCTGAAAGTGGGTATTTACCAATATGAGGTCACAAGACATGACAAAATCTAGGATACTCTTTCCTTCTTCGTTCCTACTCCTATAGCCAAACCCTCCATGTACCATTTCATATCCTTATCGATCATTTCCGATATATCCATTTATTTTCTCCACCGATAAAAATAGGCTCTTCGGACGGTACACTTTGCATAAGA